CTGACATGGGATTGAAACTCTCAGAAGTTCTGCTGCTACATCCTCTGTCGTTGCTTCTTTCCTCTGTCCTAGGCCCAAAGTCTAGAGTATAAGACCTTGAGAAGCAGGAACTCAGCTGGTTCAGGAGGTTTATTGAGGTAATATAAATGAGTGCTGAATCTTGCCCTGCCTACCCCCAACTATGCTTATTAACAAGACAAGAAAGAACCAATGGAAAAGTCAAGAACTGGTATCTTGGGAAATATGTGTGGGCTAGTCTTCATATATTAACAGGGTCTGATTTCTTCCATAAATTCAGGGGAGTTATCTCTACAAGCCCCTTGCCCCTAAATACTCACGCCTTACCGGCCTCTTATAAGGCCTCTTATAAGGGTATTCCTGCTATTCTTGATAGCCATAATTGCCATTGTACTAGGGTTTTGCCATAAGGAGCAGTCCGCACAATTCTCTAGGAACCACTAAAGTCCACTTAAAAAGCCACATTGCTGAGACTCATACTTGGGATCTATTTAACCCCCTCAAAGACCTATATTACAGAGCCCTCCAAAATACCTAAACAAAGAGAAAAAAATGCACTCATTATCTACAGCAATGCCCGTCTTCTAAGTATAGGAGGTAAGCAAAACTGTGCTTACATCTTAATTACTATTATCATGATTTGCCTGTGTCAGAGATATAAAGTATCCTAATGTGTAGCTAGGATGTTCCTCAGTTTTGTTTTTCTGGAATTTCTGCAGCAAATTTCAGATCAAGGCCCAATATACATGGAATGTGGCTCAAGCATAAGTTCGGCCTGGTAGAAATGTATATAGACTCTTCATGAGGCATTATTTTCTCCACTCTTGATATAGCATAGAGAATTTGTAACCAAAACCATAGTCAGAGCACTAAAAAAACAGTAACTGCTTATAAACCAGTCCATGAATATTCATTCTAATCACTATATAGTAATCAATTAGTATACACAGCAAGAACAATATGAAATCTGAGGCTACAGATTGCAGAACTGAATAAATCATCATTTTTAAATGACATAACTAAAGATAATATATTTTCCTTTCTGGATGAAAATTCATTTTATATTCCCTGGTGGAATACATATAAATAAGAAATACACAAAAGGCAAAAATTGGACCTAAATGTCCGTTCCTACATATACAGGTCAAGAAAAGCATTACTCACGTAATTGGACATTCATTGCCTTGTTTGCTTAAGACTGAAAAACAAATACAAATGTGAGTTTGCCAAATTTCCTAATGTTTTTTACAGTGCAGTGGGCCTTTAAAAAATACACAATAATGCAATAATCTAATACTACTACAAAGGTTTAATGATTTTTCTGGTTATTTCCCAAGTTTACCTTGCATAATATCAAGTGGTATATCTAATGTGTTTGGGTGGTTTGAACTGTAAGTGTGACGGGTCAACTAATTGTGGCCAAAAGCAAAATGCCAATCAGGATGAAACGCTTCTAAAAACAAACTCAACCAAAAATGTAAAATAGGGTCACCATAGTGATGTTAATTTAAAATGACCACTGATGAAACATTTGTTATAATCCATGTCAGACATGCCTCGTATCTTTTTCAGAACTGCTTTAAGTCATTCATTACTTCACCCTTTTAGGTTTTGACATCTCTAATGAGAGAACACCTAAAAACAATGGTGGCAATGTGAACAAAACTTAGATTCGATGCTCGCCAAGCTGCACGTGCGTGTGTATACACGTGCGTGCATGTGCGTGCAGGCACACACGCCGATCCCACTCTAGACCTAAAATGGCTGAGTTGCAGGATGTTGTTGCTTGGTGACCAAACAGTATCTCCTCAGCCACAGAGTAATTTAAACAGTGACAGATCTGTCCCCTCAGCTTTAGGCATGGCCAGGACAAATAGTAAAGGGCATGTTTATCTTTTCCAGTATTCTACATTTTTGTTTTCAGTCAGTGGTCACTTGCTTGATTTTATCACCAATTTAGATTTTAGGGGAAAGCATTTGCAAAGCTACAGCTATCCTTTTAGGAAAATAAGAGGTAGAAACAAGCTTCTTTCAAACTGAAAGATAGTCCTGTTTCAGTTAAGTCTGTGTGCTGTGTCCACTCGGTTCTGCTACGACCTCCCAGCTGCTATCAGTTTCCCTTTCTTTCATTAAACACCAACAGTTAATTAGCCTCAGCCTGTCCTCTTCCCTTCTCTCTGTCCCTTTTCAAGGTAGTAATGATGTCTAATGACCAGCAGCAGCAGGCTACTGCAACACCAGGCACAAATCTCTCTCCCTGAGAGCAGAGCCAGCCGCAAACCCTCAAACCTCAGAGAGCGAGAACAGATTCTCAGTCCACCTGAAAAGACCAAACACAGTCCTTTATTTCAGCCAACATATGCCTTGGAATTAAAAATGTGGGGTTTTTTGGTTTTTTTTTTTTGTCTTTCTGCCGATTGCACTCCCACTATTACAAAGAAAAACTTACTTATAAGGAAGAAATAATTTGAGATGCGGAGAAACACATGATAAAAGGGGAACCTTTTATTTATTTTTTAACTTGTTGAAATGATGATTGGCTGTCCTTCAGGGAAGGCGGAGCCTATAATTCTATGTAAGGAGCAGCATAAAATTTTCATAAAGAGAAATAGAGGAGTTCATGAATTAAAAACCTCTTCAACATTTCCAAACAGGCTTGAATGAAGAGCAAATCTCTTAAATACTACATGGAAACCACTGTCTAAGAATATCACCCGATGAATTACATTTTCTCCCTTAAATATATGAAACCTTTATTGAATTGAAAAGGGAAACGTGTTACTTTATTATTAACACTGTAGTTGTTATTCTACATTAGATCTCTTAGCGATAATTCTTTAACAACTCTGCATAAATTTTTCAATGAAAATATGAGTATCTGAACATGTGAAGTCTGGTTTGAATTACTAGGCATTCATATTTCTCTTGGTGTCTCTATGGCTGTTACACAATTTATGTTAAGAATTTTTAATTAATGTTTTAAAGGGACACATCTGTTTATACACATAGTGGAGGTAACCAAACCCATGTAAGCATAAACTGGACCAATACACAAGTGAAGCTATCTGACAGATAAACAGAGGAAACGTGATTTTCATATAAAAGGAATGAAAAACAAACTTCCCACCTAGCAATTGCTTTGAAAAACATATAAAATATTATCTAATACTACTTAGGCCAATAAACCTTAAATAATTATTTTATTTATTCAGTTAGCCCACTGGTGCCCAAAGGAAAATACATCCTTATGTTCTGAATTCTAAATCTACTTTGTCTAACAAGTCATTTTTAAAAATCAGGATAAGTTACTTCCCGTACAAATGAATCAAAGCCCTTCATTCCCCACAACAGACTTCTGACTCATCCAGATGTAAATAAACCTCAGTTCTAATCCAAACACATCTAGGCATCTAGTCCTCATTATTTAGTAAAGCAAGACAGTAATCTCACCATTGTCTTTAGCAATGCCACATTAAAAGAGAAGGCTGTGTTTATAGGTCTACCTCCTAGAAAATTCCAACAATTGTACTTAAAAAAAATGCAGAACTTTTATGTGTGTTTCTATTTCATCTTTATTTCCTTTTCTCATTTTCCAAATAAATTCCAAATATACACACACACACACACACACACGCACATATATATATATACACACATACATATACATATATATATATACTTCCTTCAAGAGATATCCTTAATTAATCTGGGAAACCATTAACTATTTTCCAAACCTGAAAGAGTCCTCCAAATAGTCCTCTGAAAAACCTTTCATGCACATATTTCCAATTTAATATACCTCCGTTGGAGAGAGAATAATAGCTTGCAAGATATCTCCTTTTCTAGCATCCTCCAGGAATACTGTACGGGCAAACAGTTGTCAGTAAGGGGTTGGCGTGGGAGGAGGTTAGGAAAACGAGCAAATGCTCAAGAAACCCCAAAGCCAAGCAAAAATGCAAAGGATGCCAAACGCCCTCCCCCACCCCTACTCCAGGCGAGTACCCACCGTAGCATGACGAAGAAAGAGGTCTTATGGATCTGATCTGCAATCCTACTTGTAGCCCACAGTTCCCATCTTCTTAAAAAGGGAAATTGATGCTGCCACCGCCTCCCAACCTCACAGGCTTCTGCCCTGAGAGGCTGAGATACACTAGGTTCTCAGTGCCCAGTACCTTGCTGCTCCTCGGCTTGGAGCTTTGTGGCCATGAGACTTAGAGCTATCCCAGAACGAGGAACAAATATATACACCATTTGATTGCGTCCAAACCCATGTCTCTTTGTTGTTCATCATGTAGCTGCGGCTTTATTTGTGTAAGGGGGAAGTGAGGAAGGGGATGGGGGGCGGGGAGGAGGAATCTCCAGGACCTTATCTACAATCTAAACAGTCGTGGCAAGATCTGTGGGAGTGATCAAGGCCATGGGATAGCCCGGTGTCTCCCAGGCGGCGGTCTAACAATAAAACCTGATAGTGTCGGGGCGGGGGGGTGGGGAACCCCACATCTCCGACTAGCGCCACAATCGGGCTTTGTGCCAATTAGGAGACACTGTAGACGATCGATCAGAATCGTCTATTATCAGAGCGTGCGTCTGGGGTTCCAGCGTGGCCTTTATGCTTGGTGGCGAAAGCGGGACACGCGCCAGGCGCCCAGCGAAGGACATGGGACAATGGGCAACCCGAGGACGCGGGAGGCCGCCCGACGCGGGGATGGAAGCTCCAGGAGCGGGTTCAGGAGCCCGGAGGCGAGGAGGGCTGCGAGCTCTGGAGGTGCGCTGCCGCTTTAAAATAAAGGACCACAAAGACTCCACCGCGGGGGAAACGCGCCTGGCTAGTGCGAGTGGGGACAACTTGGGGAGGGGGCTGAGAAAGGTGGGGGGGCACATGAGCCAACGGTGGCTCACGGCTCCCCCTTTCTCCCCCCTCTCTCTCCCCTCCCAGCCGGCTGCTCCCGCAGACAAATAACAGAGGAAGGCGAGTCACTCACCGTGGTCTTGACCGGCACGTAAAGCACTTGCTTGGCGCAGCCGCCGCCCCCGCGGACCTCGTCCGGCTGGCCCAGCTGGAAGCCCTTCGATTTGACCCAGAATTTAAATTTGGCGTTGTCCGTGGAGCTCGACTCGGAGCCGTTGAGGAGCTGGACGATCCGCTCGTATTTTTTACGGGTCACCGTCTTGGTCTTGCCTGAGTCCCCGTAAGTCCTGAGGCACCAGTCCTGGAACTGACGGTACATGTCGCGCTCGCTCTCCATGTTCCCCGCTCCCGGCCGTCGGCCGGATGCTCCCAGCGCACTTCGCACCTGTTCACCCTGGGCTCATGAAAAATGCAGCCCCGGCCACGATGTAGGGACGCGAGGTCCCGGCCGCCGCCGGAGCCTGCCTCGGGTGGGGGTGGGGGGGTGGATGGAGAGGGGAGGAGGGTCCGGCTGGGCACCAGCAATCAATGCCCTGTGCTACCAAGTCTCTGGTTCATTCGTAATTGCAACGCTTGTCTCGGACGCTTGTCTCGTTCTCTTAGTGATGGGTCTCTTTAATATTGTGTGACTAGGACCATCCCAACAGCATCTGGCCCAGAGGAGCTGGGTTTTAAATAATTAAAATCCCATTCCTTGGTTTATTAAAAATCCCAATATTGACTTGAGGGTGGTCCCTGGACGCCTCGCCCCGGGGCTGTGTCCTGGGCAGGGCAGGTGCAGCGCTGCGCCGCCTCCCCGCGCGCGCGCCCCAGAAGCTTCCCCGGCCGCTGGCCCCGCGGTCCAGGAAGCGAGGGTTGAGCTTGTCTCGAAAGCAGCCGCCAGGCCGAGTGCCTGCGAGCCCCGAAGGGCACTCGGGTCCCCTGACTCTCCTTCCTCCAGGGTCCCGTTCCGCTTCGGCTTTCCCTGCGTGGGGCGTTCAGGGACTAGAAAGAGAGAAAGTTCTTACCTGTCATGTTGTTAAGCCTATCAAATCCTGCTACACGGGAAATTTTTTAAGGTATTTTTTAAATGGTTTAAAATGTCATTTCTTCATATGCATTTAGGCTAAATTCCAGCCCTGCAGGTAGGTTCCAGGAATTAAGTCCCAGAATTAGCAAAACATTCATGGATATTTGGCCATAGTTCTATAGGAGAGAGTGTGGTACCCCAAACAGATATCCGTTCCAGGGAGATGTGGGTAAACGAAGGCAGGCCGCTGGCAGCGGGTCTCCCGGATAATGATGGGGTCCCCAGACAGGACTCCTCTGGTTTCTGCTGAACTGGGTACAAGGCATAGAAGTAAGTTTATAATACAGATGCTTAAAACCCTTTGCATGAAATTAAAATAGAGATTATTTTCCCCTTGCTTGGTTACAGTTTGCAGTACACACAGGAGGTTTCGTATGTCTATTTTCCCCCTGCCACGTCATGGACACCCCTCCACTGCTCAGAGTAGCCAAATATGAGTTCCTCTGGACGATTTTCTCAAGCAAATGAAATCAGCAGCTCCTCCATTCAGGATTTCCACCCGTTTGTTACAGAGCTGGAAACAGGGGAGTTCCCATCCTCTTCGCGCTGCGATTGCCGCCGCTCCTCTTTATTCTACTCTCTGCGGAGGCCCGCGCCCGTCCCGGGAGGCGGCCGTGCCAGGAAGGCGGCCCGACCACTGCCCCGCGCCTGGTCCGCGTCCTAGCCCACCTTCGCCCCTCGTCGTCGTCTCCAAGACGAAAGCCCCGAATGGGGACGCGGAGTGTTTGTACCCTCTGCGCCGCAGCTGGTCCCGGCACTTGCAAAATGGTCAGTGGCTCCTGCTCGGCCAGGCTGAGTGTGTGCGTGTGTGCGAGCAAGGGAGCGAGGGTGTTCGGTATGCGGGGGGTGCGCTGTGTGTGCGCGCGTCTCCGGGAAGGTCTCGCGGCGGCTGGAGCCGGGACTGACAGCCCGGGCGGAGCGCGAGCAGCTCCACACACTAAACCTCTCCCCTCTCCCCTCACCCCCACCCCTCCCACTCCCCTCTCCTCCCCCCCCCCCCTTCCCGGCCCCTTCCAAGCTCTCTGATTGGCCAATGGGACAAAAGTTTCTGTGGAGACGGCTGGGCGCTGACGTCACGGGCAGAATTGTCCCATTTAGGGATCCCGGGGGCAGTGCGCATGCTGCAGGCTGCAGGTTAGAGGCAGGAGGAGGTAGCAGCGGGCGCGGCGGCAGCCAGGTGGCGGAAAGGAGCACTCAGCATCCAGGTGGGGGGACGACTCCAGCAGGGTTTCCATGGAGATTCCTCTGGGTCTAGCCTAAAAACAGCAGATCAGCTGACACCATTAGCTCAGGACCTAATTACTGCTTATTGGAGCAACAAATGAGGGAGAGGGCCAGCTGCAAAGGAAGAGTTTTTATCCTACCCCCCCCACCCCATCTCCTCCTTTTTCCCCTCTCGGTCGCTCTTGAGTCCCGGGTGAATTCTCATTAACTTGCAAGATTCCTGCAACAACAGCCACCCTTCTCTAGAGGCCACCCAGACTGCTTTTATTCTTTTTATTTCTTTCTTTTGTATGGAAAAAAAAAGTGCTAAAATAAATCAGTTGTCCTGAGTCCTTGAATTTTTGCCCAGTAAATATTAAACCACCGAAGTTCAGACAGTCCGCTAATAGAAGTCACAGGTGGATCTAATGTAAGGATGATGGGGGGAGGCAAAGAGGGAAAAAAAAAAACCTTAAATATGTTAAATTAGGTATTTTTCTTTAGGTCTTTCACATTTTTTAAAAAGATGTCAATATCTCAAACTGTATGTGGAATAAGGAGTTGGACAGAAGCATATTTTGAATCACCCTCGTGTGGTACACCTCACAGGAACACTTAAGTTTACCTTGTGGCATCAGAGAGAGAGAGGATAATTCCAAGTTGGGAGATCTAGATCATGTTGTATATTAGTTAAATGTTTCCTAGAGGATCCTGGAAGAATAGTTGATCCTAGAGAGTTCATTTCATTCAAGAGTAAGCTGGTTCTATGAGTTCACTTTCTCTTACGGTTATAAGTTAATTCACGATTTCTGAATTCTTTTTGGTTGCTCTTTCATCTGAAGAGTCCTCTCATCTCCTCTAAGACTCATTCAAGTACTTTAGACCCATAAAGCCTTCTTTCCTTGTCTACTCAAGTTAAAATAGTCTATGTCTCTAAACTCCTCTGGATATGTGTCTTTCAACCATTTTTTAAAACCTTGTCTCATAGTAAGACATCTACATTACATTGACACACAGCGCATTCAAAATCTGTCCTCCAAAAATGTTCATGGGAAAACATATTTTCTTACATGGAATACACATGGGTAGTTACCTGGTCTTCTCCTATTATTATCATTACTCTTTGGTAAAGTAAATTTATGAAGCAGCACAGGATGCCTGGCAACCTATAGTCTGGAAAACATTGTTTTAGATTAAATGAACTATACCACTACTTGTACTATATTTATAGTTTCGCAGGAGTATGTTTGTTCAAACAGAATCTTGATTGGAAGACCCTTGAGAGTTTATATTTTCTTGTTTTCTAAGTAACTCTGCCACAATGAACAATGCCCATAGTAAGGGCAAGTAAATAGACACTGAATTAGTTAATAAAGGAAAGAAAGGAATGGAAGAAATAAGCAGGAGGCACAATCCGTGGCAATTCCTGTTGGCTTTTGCTAGATGGTATTTGAATGAAGTTGGTTCCCATTTGAGGACATACCAAGGCCTTACTATGTACTGTGTTAATTATAGTTATGATTATATGTGGGATTTTAATGTATAGAAATTAAAATACTTTACACATAAAGAACTCATAGAATACAAGCAAATATGTCACCAACCCCCAGCTGTATTAACTAGATTTGGTATACAAGCAAAACAAAACAAAATACACACACAAATTAAGCGATTATAAAGATGTATTTTCTTAGAAGGAAAAGGTAAATAATTCACTGTTGAAAGAATATTCACAGTGGACTAAAAAAATAGATTGCCAGGACTTTGGCAGTCAGGCTTCTTAGAGCCATGAAGATTCTCTTGCCTCCAATGGAACCTAAAGTGTACTCTCTTCTCTATAGTCTTTATTAATTGCGCAATCTAAATCAACATTTTTTTTAACCGTATCTTTCCTACTTAAAACTATAAACACCTGATAAAAATCTAAAATCTGCTTCAGCAACTCACTCTAGACTCATTTCTCTCCTTTTTATTTTTCTAGAGCCAGGTCTTCCCACTCTACTGGAGGGTCACATCGACCCTGTCCTTCAGCTATATGATTCATTTGACAGGCTTCCTGGAATTTAAGTTGGCATTTCCCCCAAGACACTTTTTCAGATTTGCCTCTCTAAGAGCATATCTCCCCAAAAAGTGACTCTTCACCCTCATATGTGAGCACCAATTCCTAATCCCTGCCCGGGGTCCTGCCTGCTATTTACAGGGAGAGGAAATCAGAAAGTGTTTGATCAGAAAATAATATTCTAATTAAAGATAATCCAAATTCTCAGCTGCAATCAACATGATTTTGTTATGAAAGTAAAACTTTGTTAATCTCAGGGTCAGTTTGTGTACGACATTTTGAAAAATCTGGAAACACATTTTTTTTTAAGATTTTATTTATTTATTTGACATATATCACAAGTAGGCAGAGAGGCAGGCGATGGGGGAGGAGTGAAGCAGGCTCCCTGCTGAGCAGAGAGCCCGATGTGGGGCTCTATCCCAGGACCCTGAGATCCTGACCTGAGCCATAGGCAGAGGCTTATCCCACTGAGCCACCCAGGTGCCCCGGGAAACACATATTTTAATATCAATCACAAATATTTATGCAACACCACATATTCACCAGCAAAATGTTATAGTCCAAACATATAATCTGTAATCATAAAATAAATGTTCAAAGAATAAAAAAACCTTCATCATATAATTATACTTTTATTCAACAAATATTTACTGAGCACCAATTACTTGGATAGGCTTTAAGTTTCAAGTAGTCAACAAGACATGTATATATATATGTTGTACTCATCTAAAGGAGCTTAAATTTTTCTCAGGAAAACACAAGAAACAAGGAAGCAAATAGCACTTGAAGTGAATGCTAGGAGGGAAAAAATGGTGCTGTAACAGAAAACATTGGCAGAGTGGATGGACTTGGTAATGCAGGGAAGACCTCTGAGTACGTGACATTCATCACAAGACCTGAAGGATGCAAAGGGATCAACCCTCTGAAGAGCCAGGAAGGGAAGGTACAGGCACAGTGCAAAGGGCCTACAGCAAGAGTTATTGGGACATTTGAGGAATAGAAGGAA